ATATTCTATTTTCTTTAATTGTTTGTACACTTACACCAACGTTCCGCAAACTGCGGGTCGCGACCCACCAGTGGGTACGCAAAAATATATTTTATGAAATTCATAGATTGGGAATTATTTTTTATAGTATTAACATCGATAGTTTAAAATTTAAGTATGAAATAACATCACATGCTTCAACAATGAAAAATGACAGACGTGAGGCCATAGTTGATTCTACGTTTCGTTCTTTATTGGAACATTGTCAAGGATGACGTTTCGTTCTTTATTGGAACATTGTCAAGAATGACGTTTCGTTCTTTATTGGAACATTGTCAAGAATGACAATTGTTCTTGACAATGTTCCAATAAAGAACGAAACGTAGAATCAACTATCACGTCTGTCATTTTTCGAAGACCCCTATTTTTTCTCTTCTATCTTAATCATAATACACAAGGCAGTCACAAAATTAAAATTACGGAATTATTTGGACGTTTGTTTGTGAAATTTCCAAGGGTCTTCGTTTTACACAATACCAATACCAGCAACAATAATACTAACACCACCACTGACAACAAATCAAAAACAACAGGATACTAACGACAATTTAAACAGCACTAACGATTTTCTAAAGAACCACGACGCACGCGGAATGGATCGTTTTTAATGACAGTCCGTTCGGACTGCTATGGTTAGCCATTATGGCCATAATTAAAGCGCTGTTAACTTTCTTTAACGAAGTTACATTGTTAAATTTTACCGTTCATCATGATTCACCGAATCGTTGAACCTTTTAATCTCGTGTCTTGTACATTGCTCACGTGTTTCTGTATACTGTATTTGTTTTAAATAGGTAGTTTCCGCCGCACGACGTTAACCTTAGTACCCAACATGCAACGGGATAGCTCCGCCCCTTTTGTAAACAAATCGAAATATGCATTCGCAAACCCGTAACTAACGTACGTCAAGCACGTAAAATCCTGGAATTTACTTACTCCGCAACAGTGGCGGCGCCAGCGGGGTGGGGGAACAGCAGGGGCTTAACCCCCCTCCCCTCCCTCATCAGACAGAGCTCGTCGGGCAGTTGGACTAAAAAATATATAAAAACAGGCCCACGCCAAGCCAATACATGTCTGTCACCATCAGAGATTCATTTCTGGCCATCCATAGGTTCCTATTCTTAAAAAATCTCATTTGGGAGGGGGAACTCCCTCTCAAATTCTTCCCCCAACTCGGGCCTACGAGCCCAAGTTCCCCTGTCGGACAGCTCAGTCCCCCAGAAAATGTATACAGAGCCGCCACTGCCCTGCAACAGGTGAATAAATTATGACGTCATCCGTTAACGTCATACATTCTGTGTTGGATATTTATATACACTTAGGTATATATAAACCATGATATATGGAAATAAAAGTCACACTGTTTATCATAATTTTTAAGAAATCATGATGTATAGCGATTTTTTTTCCAACATTTAGGCCCGCCCCGCCGACCGTACCTCACAATTTTTATAATTTTAATGTGACACTATCGTCATGTGACGTCAGACTTGTCCCTCTCTTAAAGCTGGTTTTCCACTAGACGAATTTATTCTCGCGAATCAAAGCGTCGGTTCGCTTCCTGTGCTCTGATTGGTTGTGCATTTTTTCGCTTCGAAAAAACTCTGATAGGAATGTGAATGCGCATGTGCATAAGCAGACGCATTCGATTCGCGCGAATAATTTCGCCTAGTGGAAAACCGGCTTAACTATCTTGCCTCCAATCGCGGTTTTTGTTTTGATAGTCGAGAGAAGTTCTGTTTGGATACGTCTATTCGAATTACCGTCTACTCAAGGCTGTTTTTATGCGTTGTGTTGAAATTGAGTGCAAAAACTATGGGGTGCCATACTCAGCAAAAGTCCATGTTAAAATCAAAATGTAATTGCAAAATTCAATGTCTAATTTATCAAAACTTAGGCGTAGATTTCTCAAAATGTCGATCTAGTTTCCCAAAATGAATTTATAATTTTTCAAAACGTAGTTCAAATTTTCCAAATTTCTTTAAAATGTAATAATTCAAATTCAAAACGTAGGTCTGACTTGATCAAACGCCTTCTCCAAATTCTGTACCAAAAAATCAAATACCAGCCAAGCATGACTGGTTTGAAATACATTTTACAACAACACTATATAGACATGCGAAATGTAAATCAAAACTAAATGATTAATTAATGATTAATGATTCAAGAACCATCATTATGTATACAATAATATATAGGCCTATTTAGGCTTACATTTTCCTAATTAAGCAGGACTGTTTGTAACTTTTCAGGTCTTCCAAAAACGAGAAGATGGAACCATCGACTTCTATAAAAATTGGTCGGAATACAAATTAGGATTTGGGAATGTCAATAGCGAGCATTGGCTTGGTAATGAGAAAATCCATCGGCTGTCGTCTGCAGGTAACTACGAGTTAAGAGTTGACATGTCTTCCTTCGAAGGAGAATCTAAGTACGCCCACTACGACAACTTTCGACTTGCTGACGAACAGAACAATTTCAGACTGATACTTGGTACTTACAGTGGCGATGCAGGTAGGTCTATAGTGAGTTAATAAAGATATAACAGAAATCATATTTAATTTTTAAATCTTATTTATTAATGCATGTAGTGTGTTATTGGACTATTTATTTTGTTTTATGTGTTGTATCTAAAATCATAGGTTTTGCTTGTTTGTGGTCCAACCAATATCAACAAAGGTGACATATATGCTTCTGCTGTAACAATAAAAAAAAAAACATGGAGAATGAACTGTTATAATAAAGAGACTATAGTTATAATTTATTAATTACATTGTATTATCAGCGTATTAAGCCATTTTTGTTCCGATATATAGGTGATTCTCTTGGTGGGCATCGTAATTTACAATTTTCAACATCTGATAGAGATCATGATACGTACGGTTCGTCGTGTGCAGTGGCTTACAAAGGAGCATGGTGGTACAGCAGCTGTCATTCGTCGAACTTGAACGGCTTGTACTTGAAGGGTGAAACCGACCAGTACGCTAAAGGGGTCGTGTGGTCACATTGGAAAGGTCATTACTATTCATTGAAAACAACTGAGATGAAAATTCGTAGATTGAAACTTTAGACTTCAATAGTTGTTCAGAGAATTACCTAATGTCCGCTCTTGATGAATATCAATATTCAACAAGGATTATAATTTATGTTTTATGTAGTGTTTTTATGAAACTTTTCTAGAATATTTCAGTTATAGATAG